GTAGGTAGAGCCTAAGTAGCTACCTATTAAAGTTAATAGTAATCTAGAATAGCCTATATATAAAATTCTAGATAGTTGTCTTTATTAAAATTGCCTTTAATACTATGCTATATAGGTTGCTTATAATTCTAACTCTACCTAGTATAATACTATAGGCTTTATTAATGCTCTCTATAAGGTAAGAGACTTTTATGTAGTATATCTAGATAAGCTAGAGCTGCTATTATAATTAGATGCTTAGATTAAGGCGTATAAAAAAGAGAAGACTCTAGAGAAGATAGCGAAGAATTTAAAACTCGTAAGAGTAAGAGACATAAGAGTAACGCAAAGGTGCTACTAAGTAATTTAAGAAGCTGTTAAGCTTATAGTATTATTTAAGAAGAGAGCCTATAACAAAGCTACTCTATAGACGCAAAAATAAGCCTTTTAGCTTAAATCTCTATAAGAATAGAGTAACTAGAGAGAAGGTAGTAGCTATAAAAGCGCTTCTAGTTTAAAACTAATACGAATACACTTACTATAAGCTAAAAGAAATAGTTAAGAGTATAATATAGAAGTTTTAGAAGAAGAGAGACTAGAAAGGCGTATTTTAGAGCTTAGAGACGAGCTCTCTCTGTAAGAGAGAGTAATATAATAGTCTAACTCGGCGCTATAGTCTAACTTAGCTTCGCCTAAGTTATATAACTCTATCTAGCGCCTTAATATAGGTACTCTGTATATATAGAGAGCTCTTAGAGTATCTCTCTACTTCTTACCTTTAGATAGCTAAATTTAACCTAACCTACTCTACTAGCACTCTATTCTTATAGCTTATAGAGATAGTACTACCTATAGCTAACTTACCTAGCTAGGTATTCTAGAACGCTTATAGTAGCGAGAACTACGAAGCTAGCCCTTATACTTAATAAATAAACGCTCTAGATAAATAAATACTCTAAAAATACTTAGTATAAGAATTAATAAGTTTTTCTTAAATAACTAAGTAAAACCTTAATATTTTTCTATAAAACTTTAGATATTTATAGAGCTATACTATATATACCTTCTATTAAATTTATAAAATATATTCTCTATTATATAAGCTTAAAATAAGTCTTTTTCTAAAAGTAGCTATTCTTAGAGTTTAAATCTTATAAGTACTAGTAAATCTTTATAATAATCTATAAAACTTTAAAGATATATTATATACTATAGTATAAATTTATTCTAAAGATAATATAGTATATTTATTAGTAATATCTATCTATTTCTAGAAGAAACCTTTAAACTTCTTTTTAGAGACTCTTTAAGCTAATATCTCTAGTACTACTAAGCTAAACGTAACTAAACTTTATAGAAGTCTTTATACTATAGTATATAATATATCTATAAAGTTTTATAGTTTATTATTAAGGTTTACTAGTACCTATAGAGTTTAAAATCTAAGAATAGTTAATTTTAGAGAAAGGCTTATTTTAAGCTTACGTAATAGAAGATATATAGTATAAATTTAATAGTAGGTGTATATAGTATATATCTATATATATTTAAAGTTTTATAGAAATATATTAAGGTTTCGCTTAGTTATTTAAGAAAAACCTATTAATTTTCTTATACTTAGTATTTTTAGAGTATTTATTTATTAAGTACGTTATTATATACCTTATATTAAAGTTATACTAAAATATATTATATAATTAAAAAGCTATACGTATTTAACTAACTTTTAAGAAAAAACCTACTTTACTTCTAGTAAGTACTATTATATCTTAATAATAATATATAAAACTTATAGTATATAGTATTTATAACTTAATAAAGAGTTCTAGAAAACTTCTATAGCGCTAGCTCTTCTAGGTATAGCGTAATAAGAAATAGAAGCTTATAAAAAGTCTTTCTAGAGTTTTTTTCTCTAACTATATATATATATTAATAATCTAGCTATATAAAGTTATATATTATAAGATTATATATACTAGAAGCTTTCTATATATTTAGAAGTAATAATTTTAAAATAGTTTTAGTATCTTTCTATCTTTCTCTACTATACGACTAAAAAGACTTTACTTTTAAATAACTACTTAAAGCTACTATATTATTAGTTAATAAGCTCTATATAGTTAAAACTAACTATAATATATAAAATAATAAGTTTATAGAGCTAGATTAACTATATATATATATATATAGTTAGAAGAAGAAAGCTTTAAGAAGAAATTTTTCTAACTTCTATCTCTTATTATACTATATCTAGAAGAGATAGCGCTATAAAAGTTTTCTAGAACTCTTTATTAAGTTATAAATACTATATACTATAAGTTTTATATATTATTATTAAGATATAATAGTACTTACTAGAAGTAAAGTAGATTTTTTCTTAAAAGTTAGTTAAATACGTATAGCTTTTTAATTACGTAATATATCTTAGTGTAATTTTTATAGTAGGTGTATATAGTATAGTTCTATCTATATTAAAAATTTTATAGAAAAATATTAAGTTTTCGCTTAGTTATTTAAGAAACACCTGTTAATTTTCGTTAGTTTTCGTTACAAAGAAATCGTAGGGCGTTTAGTAGTATAGAGCGTTTAGTAGTATAGAGCGTTTAGTAGTAAAGTATATTACCTTCTATAGCTACTTAATATAAGCTACTTTTTACTATTAAAGATAGTTTATAGCTACTAAGTTAAGAATCTAATATATAGCTATATTAACTATATTATAAAAATTAAGTTTCTATTTATATTTTATATAGCTTTTTATATATTAATTATAGATAATAATATTAAAGTAGACTTTAAAGATACTAGCTTAGTTCTATTTAACCTAGATTTAGTAGTATTAAAGCTTAAAGTTTAATTATATATACTAATATCTTCTACTACTAATACTACTATCTAGAAGTATAAAATATCTAGTAATCTTATTTAAGTAAGATTTTAATTAACTCTAATTTAATTAAAGATTATATAGTATTTTAATTTATTACTAACTTATATTATTAAGTTACTTAATTAGCTTAAGAAAAGTAATAAGCTAATAGTATATTAGCTAGTACTTATAGAGTCTAAAGTTATCTAGCTTTAAGTAGCTAATATATAGAAAAAGAAGTATAATTTATATAAAAGAAGGTAAATTTAGAAAAAGAATACTTTTATAATTAAAGCTAGCTTATAGCTAGTTACTTAAAAAAAGACTATAGATTAGAATAAGAGTAAGAAGTAGTATAAAGAGATAGTAGTATATAATAGCTAGCTAGCTTAGTAATACTATAAACGCTATAGTAAGCTAGAGTATAATACGTAAATATACTAGATAGTTAAAGATAATATAGATAAGTTAGATAGCTTATCTAGATTTATCTTAAGTAGCTTAGAGTTAGAGTAATCTAATTAAGATAGTAGCTTTTTAGTAAAGGCTTAGTATTTTTAGAGTATTTACTAATATAAAGTATTTACTAATAAAGTATATTATACTAGACTAATCTATTAAAAAGCTATAAGACTTAATATTAATAAAGTTATCTATAGTAAAATTAGACTTCTAGTACTTTTTATTTATCTAGAGTATCTATCTAGTTTATACTTTTATAATATTACTTATATTTTCTAATATATCTAGTTAATAAAGAATAGCTAGATAGTAAAGTTAATAATAGTAGATAAATAAATAAAATATTTTACTAGTAGCTATAGAACTTTCTAACTAGAAAATATAGTTATAAAAGTAGTTTTTATATAGTTTTTAAGTTATTTTAGATAAAGATAAAAAGAGTAGTATTTATTAAAGTATAAAAGTTAAGTATAATATTATAGATTATAAAAAAGCTAAAAGCTCTAGCTATATATACTAGTCTAGTATAATTACGTAATTAATATATAATCTTAATAGTAAATAATAGTCTCTAGTTTTTTTATCTAGTACTCTATAGAGCTACTTCTACTAATAGTATTTATATTTATACTTTAATAGAAAGTAATATACTCTACTATAGTAGAAAGAATATAGAAAGCCTAAGACGTCTTCTTATTATTTCTAGTACCTAAGATATAGTTAGTTATAGTCTAGTAAGTATTAGCGTAGAATTAGTTATTAGTAGTATTGTAGCTATTCTTAGACTGTAAGAGCTAGGCCTAGTCCTTAACACATCTAACCTATTCTCTTTAGAAGCATTCGCCTCCCGCTGCGTCCTTACGTAGGTAATCTAACAAAGCTGTTTCTACGCCACGTGCGCAGTATAGCCGCATGTCGTCTTTCTTGTGTCGCTGCTGCCGCAGCTGTAGACACTAAGAGTAATATCGATTACGAGGTGTACGGCAGGGCCGCGGCAGATACATGAGTTTCTAGGCGCGTCTAAGCGGCGCAAAGAGGTAGTGCTTAAGCTGACTAAGTCTGGGTATGGCGAGCAGCGCCAGGAGATCGAGGATCTTAGGTATAAGGCTCGATGTGTAGCCGCATGTCGTCTTCCTCGTGTCGCTGCTGCCGTAGCTGCAGACACTAAGAGTGATATCGATTACGAGGTGTACAGCAGGGCCGCGGCAGATGCATAAGTTCCCGGGCGCGTCTAAGCGGCGCAAAGAGGTGGTTGTAAGGGCTAGCTCCCGGTCTCCACTGCTGTGAGCGCCCTGGAACACCTAGCTAAGTAAGTCGGCTGCAGGCAGCACTGTCTCTACGAGCTGTAAGGATAGGGACGCGAGAGCAGAGCAGGTTGGGTTAAATTCAGCTTCTAAAGGTAAGGAGCAGAAGGATACAGGGTGCCTAGTGCCAAGGCGCTAGGCAAGGTCATGTGACTTGGGCAGAGCCGAGTCGAACCGCAGTACTAAGTCGGACCGTCACACAGTGCAGCTAAATAAGCAGCGGCGACAACAATAGTACCCAATGCTATTCGAGTTAATTACCTAAAGAGGCCCCTCTTTCGCCAGTCGGCTTCTGTAGCCACCGCATGCAAATCCGTAACTCTAGCCTAATGCTAGTGCTAACAAACAATGCCTTGCTCTAAACGCCAGTAAGTATACCGCAGAGCTTAGGCAGCCGAGGTAGTGTAGCGAATGAACCCCCCTACCGCTCTCTTAAGCCTTGTCCTGCGCTGGGCTAGGGTCCCGGTAGTACCCTGCTCCAAATGGCGGAGCAACTCGTTGACTCGTCCACCGTCCATCTGGCTGATGTCGTCGATGCGGGAGGGGAAGTGCGGGATAACTTGTAGCTGGGCATCGGCCGTTAACGAATAGAGCGGCGTGAGGTCCTCATCGAGGCTGCTAGCGATGATGTGGCTGTTCTCGAGGCGCACTTGTTGATTTAGCAGCCTGTGTGGGTTTCATGTCAGCTGGCACTATGTCTGCGTGCGAGGGTTTAAAAAGGTATTCTTTACGTACTGCACCTCGACACGACGAAACCCGCTCTCCACGCGGTCCTCCAGGCGCTCCACGCGGTCCTCGTCCTCCAGGCGCTCCACGCGGTCCTCCAGGCGGTCCATGCGGTCCCCGAGGCGGTCCATGCGGTCCTCGAGGCGGTCCATGCAGTCCTCGAGGCTGTCAACTCTGGCGTTAAGCTGCCCAATATTGTTGTCGATGCGATCGAGTCGTTCAGCAATGCCCCGCAACAAAGTCACGATCTCGTTGTCGCCTTGCACAGTCGGCAAATTCTGGCAGTTTCGAATTTGTGCCGCCATGCTGGTGATGTTGGCCGCCTCCTCGCAACCGGCCGCCATGACGGTGGAGTCAGGCTGTGGACTGAGAGCAGCATCCATGGTTGGTGGTGCAGGATGAGGTGGTAAGAGTTTGATGGTTGAAGAGTTGATGTTGGTAGAAGAAAAGAGGTTGGTTGGGTGCCAGGCGGACGCTTTTATTCGACTCGCGGGCTAAAAAGCTTGGCGGGTGCGACCTGGTTGAGGCGAGCAAGAGCTTGTAGAAGAGAGGCGAGCAAGAGCTTCTAGAAGAGAGGCGAGCAGAAGCTCCTAGAAGAGAGGCGCGGACGCCAACAAGAAGAAGGAGGAGCCAAGGCCAAGGTAAGAAGCCCAGACCTGGGTTCTTGATCGCTTGGCAAACCCGCACGTGTGCAGCCTTCCCTTCATTTAGGAGTGACGCGCAATTCGCGCGCGAGCTCTGCGCGCGTACACCCAGCTTCCAGATATACGGTGTCTGAGCGTCGTTTGCGACCCTCTACGCGATGTGTCTCTGTAACCCCAAAGTCTCGAGCTGCGTGTATGTAGGCTGCTTCGACGGATAGCGAATCTCTGGGCTGCGGAGGTGTGTACAATAGCTATTCGATCAATTGCAACGTCTGATAGTCGATGGAATCGTGAGAGAAGTGTGTGTGCGGGACTCGGCATCGGCGCGAGCATCAAGGATCGAAGGCACCCAGTCGAGTCCGAGGGCATGAGACGCTGATTGCGAAGGTCTAGAGCGGGGGGGGGGGCATCGTACGCTCGTCGTCTCGGGCGGACTCGTTATGCTCGCAGGTACCGTTCGTTCGTGGCTACGCTCGTTCGTGATCTCGCACCTAGCTATCGCTTCTAGATGTTAACATCTCAGGGAGCCAATTGGTAAAGCAGGGAGGCTCTGCATCCACAAGACAGGAGGAGCGCTGATTATGAGTCGCGGACGGCCGTCGAGCTTGTCTAGGTGGACGTCCAAGGGGTGATGCGGGCGGTAGAGCTTCTCGGAGGCTGTCACCGTACAATAGAGATTGGAGCTGATGTTACCCGCGCGGTTAGGGAGAGGCGCCCACAGCCAGATTAAGTGCTAGCGGAGCCTCCGCCGCCGCAGTCAGTAGAGCAGCTCCTGTAGTCCTCCTCCAGAGTCTTTTTTGTAGAGCCGATTATGCCGCCAGATAGCGCCGCGGTCCCGTCGATAGCTTGTCGAGTGTTTTGCGGGGGATAGGGGGGATAGCCTGCGGAGGATCAACGCAGCGCTGCAGCTTCGTAAGCTTTGGAGGAGCGGAGGTTGCCTCCGCGGTGCCCAGGTGTAGCAAGATGGCTTCACGGCATCTTGATGGATCAAGCTTGAATTGGAACGTCGACATGACGGCGTTGGAAGGTACCGCCAGTGGCGGTTACGACGGCGGGCGATTGGGGGTCAGGAAAGGACTTCCTCGTAACCCCCACGTGGGAGGAAGGTGTAGTAACGGTTGAGGACGTCCGCCGGTGCGGAAGGCGGAGGGAGGAGGAAGGCAGGAAGGTAGGTGTCCTGCTTGTTAATGAGTTGTCCGCCGTCAAAGGGTATTAATGGCGGAGTAGTGTTGTGTAGCTGAATGGCTCAGTGATAGGTGGTGCTAGTAGTGATCCGCTGAAGCTAGTAGGCTGGGCGGAGACGGGCAGTGCAGCCAAATGAGCAGCGGCGACAATAATGGTACCCAATGCTATTCGAGTGAATTACCTAATGAGGCCTCTCTTTCGCCAGTCGGCTTCCGTAGCCACCGCATGCAAATCCGTAACTCCAGCCTAATGCTAGTGCTAACAAACAATGCCTTGCCCCAAACGCTAGTAGGAATGCCGCAGAGCTTAGACCTTCACGCCAGTGTGGCGCATGTACCCCCCTACCGCTTTCTTGAGCCTCGTCTTGCGCTGGGCCAGGTTCCCGGTAGTACCCTGCTCCAAATGGCGGAGCAACTCGTTGACTCGTCCACCTTCCAACTGGCTGATGTCCTCGATGCGGGAGGGGAAGTTTGCGATAACTTGGGGCTGGGCATTGGCGGCCGTCAACGAATAGAGCGGCGCGAGGTCCTCATCGACGCTGCCGGCGATCATGTGGCTGTTCTCGAGGCGCGCTTGGTTGTTCAGCTGGCTATGTGGGTTTCATGTTAGCCGGCACCATGTCTGCGAGGGTTCGAAAAGGTATTCTTCACGTACTGCACGTTGACACGACGAATCTCGCTCTCAAGGCGGTCCATGCGGTTGTCAAAGCGCAACTCCATGCGATCGAGTCGTTCCTCCATGCGATCGAGTCGTTCCTCCATGCGATCGAGTCGTTCATCAATGCGCCGCAACAAAGTCACGACCTCGTTGTCGCCTCGCACAGTCGGCAAATTCTGGCAGTTTCGAATTTGTACCGCCATGTTGGTGAAAGCGTTGGCGAAAGTATTGGCCGTGTTGGTGAGAGTGTTGGCCGTCTCGTCGCAACCGGCCGCCATGACGGTGAAGTCAGGCTGCGGACCAAGAGCAGCAGCATTGGCCATGGTTGGTGGTGCACAGAGAGGATGAGGTGGTAAGAGTTTGATGATGGATGAAGAATTGATGATGGTCGAAGAGTTGATGACGGATGAAGAATTGATGATGGTTGTGATGGTTGATGATGATTGTGATGGTTGTGATGGTTGATGATGTTGGTGGAAAAGAAGAGGTTGGTTGGGTGCCAGGCGGACGCTTTTATTCGACAAGCGAGCTTGGCGGCGTTGCCCCGCGCGACTGGTGCGACCTGGTTGAGGCGGGCAAGAGCTCCCAGAAGAGAGGCGAGGACGTCAATAAGAAGAAGAAGGAGGAGGAAGCCAAGGCCAAGGTAAAAGAAGCCCAGACGCGTTCTTGACTGGGGGAAAGATGCTTGCTCCGAGGACAGAGCAGCGGCGGCGGCGGCGGCAGCAGCAGCACAGGCGCAGTGCAGGCACCCAAACTTTTGGCTTGGCACTGCACAACCGTCCAACAGCGATTGGAGCTGCTGTTGCATTGCTCGATCGCGACGAGGCTAACAGCGGGCGCAACCCGCGCGGCTGGGAAGAGCCTCCGCCGCCGCCGTCGACCCCGCAGCAGGTGTGGCGCAGGGCCCCTGCCGCTTCTGGCTCTCGCCCCCGGCTCTGTTTTAGTGTGTGGTCTTATGTATGTCTGCCGTTCGACAGCCGATGCGTGGTATACCGGGTGCTAGCGGCGGGTTCGAAGGTCCGAGGGCAGGTTCAGCGTCCGCAGTCGATGCTGTCGCGTAACTCAGCGCGCCGACGTGCGTGCGGGTAACGCGCTAGGACAGATGTTGGCTGAGGTAGGCGTTTGGCAGATTGTGTCCGTTGCACAGGTAGCCGTAGCCGATGTGGTAGAGGACCGCGTTCCCGTCGACGGCTTGTCGAGTGCTTTGCGGGGGATGGCCTGCGGAGGATCAACGCTGCAGCTGCGTAAGCTTTGGAGGAGCGGAGGTTGCCTCCGCGGGGATTTTGGTGCCCAGGTGTTGGCAAGATGGCTTCACGGCAACCCGCGCGGCTGCGGAGAGGCGCCCACAGCCAGATTGAGTGCGGGCGGAGCCTCCGCCGCCGCAGTCGGTATAGCAGCTCCTGTAGTCCTCCTCCGCCAGAGTCTTTTGTAGCGCCGATTATGCCGCTAGATAGCGCCGCGTTCCCGTCGATAGCTTGTCAAGTGCTTTGCGGAGGATGGGGGGTAGTGTTGCGAAGATGTCAAGAAGCGCCGTATCCTGCGGAGGACTAACGCAGCAGCTTCGACGCGGATAATTTGAGAAAAGCAGTAGGAGCCGATTGCTACGGTCTGATAGATCCTCTGCCAATTGTTTGCATCCCGATGCGGCGTTGTGGTGGAGCGTGGGTTGCGACTGCGGCGCGGCAGGCTCTGTGTCGGCGTGGCTCTCAACGCTACGACGCCCGCACTGTCAGATGTCCATTGATAAAAGCAGAGATCCTCTGCCATTTGTTTGCATCCCGATGCGGCGTTGTGGTGGAGCGTTGGGTTGCGGTCCGCGGCGCCGGCCAGGCCGAAGGCAATAGCAAATCTTGCAGCTCCCCTCACCACGCCCACAACACCACACTCCGATCTTTTCACCTCAGCCTTTTGGCGCCCCCCTCACAACCTCAACGAGCTCAATGAGCTCTCTCGAGGCCTCAGCCTTTGTCTTTAGTCCCCTGGGGCATCACCGTACCGCCAGCAGCCCCCGCACAGCCGCCCCAATGGAGCCCGCTACCTGTTTCGCCACCGAGACCCTTGAGCTCCAGGGACTACGCACCCGTGAGTACTGCCCCTTTGCATTTCCTCCTCGATACATGCTAACTTGGCGGCATCCGCCTCGAGGGGCAACGGGGCATGCCTTACGCAGTGAGCCACGGCGGCCGTTGCTGCCACCCACGGCGGTCGCTGCTACCACCCACGGTTTCGGAGAGAGCGCTCGTCGTCCCTCGGGGCGACCACTACCCACTCGTGAGTACTGCCCCTTGCATTTCCTCCTCATACATTTCCTCCTCATACATGCTAACTTGGCGGCAGCCACCTCGAGGGGCGGCGGGGCATGCCTTACGCAGTGAGCCACGGCGGTTGTTGCCACCTACGGCGGCGGCGGCCACTCACGGTTTTGGAGAGAGCACTCGTGAGTATTGTCCCTTGCTTGCATTTCCTCGATACATGCTGACTTGGCCGTACCCGCCTTGAGGGGCAACAGAGCATGCCTTACGCAGCGAGCCACGGCGGTTGCTGCCACCCACGGCGGCGGCGGCCACCCACGGTTTCGGAGAGAGCACTCGTGAGTATCGTCCCTTGCGTTTCCTCCTCATACATGCTAACTCGGCGGCATCCGCCTCGAGGGGCAACAGGGCATGCCTTACGCAGCGAGCCACGGCGGTGGCGGTTACTGCCACCTACGGTTTCGGAGAGAGCACTCGTGAGTATCGTCCCTTGCGTTTCCTCCTCATACATGCTAACTCGGCGGCATCCGCCTCGAGGGGCAACAGGGCATGCCTTACGCAGCGAGCCACGGCGGTGGCGGTTACTGCCACCTACGGTTTCGGAGAGAGCACTCGTGAGTATCGTCCCTTGCGTTTCCTCCTCATACATGCTAACTCGGCGGCATCCGCCTCGAGGGGCAACAGGGCATGCCTTACGCAGCGAGCCACGGCGGTCGTTGCCACCCACGATTTCGGAGAGAGCCCTCGTCGTCCCTCGAGACAACCGGCTGAGCCGCAGACCCTCCAGTCATCAGTATGGCGAGCCGCAAGGAGGCCATCGGGGCCATCGAGGCCATCGAGGCCATCCTTGGTAGGAGACACAATCACCCCTATTTGCGGCTGATCACCGCGGAGGGGCGTCACACTCGGCTATCGAGGCCATCGAGGCCATCCTTGGCAGGGGACACAATCACCCCTATTTGCGGCTGATCACCGCGGAAAGGCGTCACACTCGGCTATCGAGAGAATGGTGGCGATTGAGCGGGGCGAGCGGGGCACGGTCGGGGCCTCTAGGAGATCTTCTCTTTCCGTCTTCGAAAGAATGTGAGTCGACTGTCCCGATACTCGATCCGATAGCCCAGACCATGCTGACTCGAAACCAGCGGCCTGGGGCCAAGTAAGGCTCCGTGTTTCCGCCCCCGGTTCGCCGCCCCCGCGGCTTAAGTGCCGAGTGTTGTTCCCGCCCCCGACACTGCGAGAAGAAGATCAACTGTCAGCCCCACTACACGTACACGAAGACGAACGGCGAGAAGGCCTCGGCTCTGGTCGACATCGGGGCCAGGATCACAGACGTGAGTAACAAGTGGGTCATGGAGAGAGTCACCGGCGGCTCGGTCAGGACCATCCTCGAGGCCAGCGGCATGCCTACCCTTCCGTCCTTGATCTTCTCCTACAACATGATCGCGAAGAGGTCGCGAGCTTGAACCCGCCCGTTTTCATCTTGGTGTTGTTGGCCGTGAGCGTCACCATGCCCTTCTCGAAAACCAGCCCGAGCCTCGGTTCACGCTCACACCTTCGAGTCGCTGCGTTCTACCTCAACGCCAACACCTTCCCCTCCCTGGACGGGAACTCCCTCGAGAGCGAGGGTGTAGAACGACAGTGAGTCTTCAGCGTGCTCTTCGGTGGACCCCGTTCCCATCGCTAACAGAAGCAGAAACACGTAGACGGACCACCCCCACGAAGACGTCATCACTTCAACAAGGGCATGAAACGCCACCATGAGCTGCGTCAGAAGTATGGTCACGAACGGCTGCGGGCAACGAGGCCAAGGTCAAGTACAGACACTGCACCGGGAACCACCCCCGACAACGCCTGGGAGAACGAGAAGTGCTACAGGCAGTCGCAGGTGAAGAAGATGAGGCCGATCGAGACCATGGTGGCCGTCGGGAACCAGTTCTGCAACAAGACGTGTCGTGCCATGACGATGGGCTGGGAGTGCTGCACCGGGACCTTCCACAGCGTCAACATCGACAAGGCTGCGAACGCGAAGACGCCCACGACCACGACCACGTTCAGCGCCCGGTCGAGTTGGACAACGACGTCATGAAGCCGCCTCCGCTCCGGCCCAGAAGCACGAAGAGGAACCACTCCCGGGACGGCGATAAAGTACTACACCCCGGAGACCGAGGGGGACAACATCTCGGCGGGCTTCATGTTCACAATGGCGGCGTGCCCCGGGATCTTGGGGCCACGGCGTGGTCAGCAACGGCACTATGCTCGTGTGCGAGTCCCACTTCATGGACTTGGACGCGAACTCGATGCGAGACGCGGTGGCGAGTATGGAGCCGAACAGCCTCAAGTGGGTGGTCGGGGACAACCCCTCCGGTGCCCTTGGGCTTCTCCAGGGATCCGAACGGCTGGTCCCCCTCGTGAGGTTCTTCGTGGACATGATCACGTTCGGCTTGAAGGGGATGCCCGTGTGCTCGTCTACTATCTCGATCATGTCGTCGTACTCGATCACGTCTCCGACCACCATCTTCATCCCCCCTGCGAGTTCCCGATCTTGTCCCCCAGCATGAGGCCGTTCGACGACACATGCACAATCACGTACGGGTCCCCGGTTCCGGTCGTCTCTCTGCTCAGGACGATCCCCTCGATCGCCGGCTTCTACCAGGGCTGGTCCTTGAGCACCGTCCCGGGCTTGATGTAGCCCACGTCCATGGGCAGGCGGTAGTTGATGACCCCGCTCCAGGCCATGAGGCCAGACATCGACACCATCGTGGCGTCGCCCTTGATCGGGGTTGGGGACCAGAGACTGCCTCACCATCTGGAGCCCGAGATTGGGTCTAGGCTCGGCCGTCCACGCCATGAAGCCGATGATCAGAACCGCGATGTTGAAGTACTGCTCCGGCTCCTCCTCCTTCCTGGGGAAGCTGAGGCCGCAGAACCTCATGGTATCCGAGTGGTAGACCGACACCGTGTCCACGTACGGGGCCCTCGCTCACCATCTTCCTGTCCACCACCTTGGTCCTCATGGGTCTAATCGCGGTCCCGGGCGCCACCGAGATCACGAGCACGGGGCTGTTCTTGTTGTCGAAGATGTGCAGAGTCGGCATGTTGGGCTCGTTGAACACCATCCACTCGTTTACGATCATCTTCACGACCCCGATCGCGAGCAGCCTTACCTTTCCGGCAGCCTTCGACTGCGGGGTGAACATGGCGTCCAAGAACCCGCCGTGGTCTTCCCTAGGCGTCCTCTGCTCCAGGTCGGGTTCGACGTCTTCACCGGCCCACCGACCCCAGGGACACGACCGTGTTGTCGTACATGATCCCGAACAGGCCGTAGTTTCTCTCCACCCTCTCTCGAGCTGGGGGTACAGGCTCTGCCAGAACCCGCTGTCGCCGGTGGTCGTACTGTACAAGGGGAAGCCGATCACCTTCACGGAGGACAACGTGAGCACGAGGGTGGTCAGGGCCAGCTACGGGGTCATGTCGCTGCTCAGGATGAGACACATCGCCGCGCTCAAGCACCACTACTTGTCCACACCCACCATCAAGTCGATGCTGATCCCGAAGGGGAGGATGCGCGGGGGCATGGCCAGGAGGGACGCCGTAATCACCTCCGACATGGCGACCACGGTGGTGTGCAGCCACTGCCGCAAGCTCACAATCAACTGCGACTGCCCGTCCCCGAAGCCGCCTCCCACCGAGATCATGGTCAGGTACGGGCTCGTGATTTTGGACGTGTACCTGACCGTGGCCACACTCAACACTCCCGACAAGGGCACCTACAGCGTCGCGTACTTCACCCGCATCACCACCGAGCCTCTCCGCGCGGCCGCGATCACCTGCAACTTGAAGTCCGTGTTGAAGTCATAGGGTTCGACCGTGGCCCCCTTCGCCTTCTTCTGCAGGACGCTGACGTCGATCGCCGGGTCGGTCGCGATGTAGGAGAAGTTCTTGATCATCATCTGCCTCCACTCCTGAATTCTGCCCACCCCGAAACTCACGATCACCTTCCTGCCCATACCTACCCTCGACTGCGCCATCTCGTACACCCTCGTCCTCATGGCGATGGACATGGGAGGTGATGTCCAACAACGGCCCGTTCAAGAGCGGGTCCCCACACATGGCTCATGACCGCCCTCCTGGCCACGTCCATAGAGTTGGGCAGCTTCTTGAGCACCCTCATCTTGGGCTTCCTGATCATCACCTCGTTCGTGGCCAGGTCCTTGTACACGTCGCACTCGTAGACCGTGTCCACCTCCATGTCCTTCGCCCCCTTCGCCACCGCAACCAGAGACCCGTTCTCGATGACGTTCATGCTCCCGTCGACGTACATGAGGTCGACCGTGGGCTGCTTCAGCCTCATGGTCCTGAGTTCGGTCACGAGCACCACCCTGGCGTTGGGCACCCCGGAGGTCGCCAGCTCGGCCCTGGTCGGCACCCTGTCCCAGGACTTCCTGAAGATCGTGTTCGGCCTCGGGTTGCTGATTATGGAGACGTGCCTCCTCGTGCCTCTCTTTAGCTTCGTGGTCCCGTCCACGGCCAGAGTGGCGATGTGAATCAGATCCCCGTTCATCATCTCCTCCACGACTACGACGTCGGGCGTCTTCGTGAGCTCGTCGATCTGTCTGGGCTCGTCCGTGACCACGCACGAGAACACCGTCGTGCCCGGGTCGTTGAGCGCCACCACGTACCCGAAGGGGTAGCAGAACACGAACTTCTTGACGCCGTCGGCCTTGGGCATGAACGTGCCCTTGTACCCGTCCATGTTCGGGGTGTCGACGACGATGTGATCCGATGACATGACCATCCTCATGTACTCCGGGTCGACCTCCTTTATCATCGACTTCACAGTCCCGGTGTTGGCCACGGCCATGGACAGGACCGTCAACACGTTCGAGTTGCTGAGCTTGCCCCCAATCTCGAACTCCGCCGCGAACGACCTCGTGACCTCGTCTCTGTACATCCTCGCGATGCAGGTCACGTTCACGTCTCCCATCGCGAGCACGGTCTTGATCTCGGTCATCTACTCATCCGAGACAGCCGTGATCGTACTCACCGTCACGTCCCCGAAGAAGCCGCTCTCCATCATCATGTACATGCGCTCGCCGAGGTCGCGACCAAGCCTAAGTTCCACTTCTCGTTCGGCCTTCGTGCTCATGGTGGTGATCGTCACCGGGTTCAAGACTCTGGGCGCCTCGGTGTCCATGTCGTTGTCCATGGCCGACACCTCGATTCTCTTCGTGGTGGTGTACTTGTTCGTGATCATGTTGATGATCTCGATCGGGTCCTTACACTTGCACACGACCGCCTCCGGGGGCTCGTCCAGGCCGATCCTCACGTGCGCGAACCTAGCCTTGGAGATGTCCCTGCTCTCGCCGCAGATCGAGCAGATGTGTGTGTCCATCGTCACTGGCGCCTTTGTGTCGATGCTCAACTTCAGGGTCGTGACGTGTGGTTGATCTTACCCGTGTGGTTGATCCCGGTCCCGGACTTCTCCCGTTCGCGGACACGAACAGAGACATCAGCACGATCATCGGCGTCGACTCGGAGATGGTCGTCTACGTCGGTGAGCACGATCTTCAACGTGTGAGGTGTCGACGAACGTGTCCAAGTGCTTGCTGATGGAGCCGATCGTCATGGTGAACGTGACCGTGCACGAGCACTTGAAACCGTCCAGCAACATGATGGCGTTGGTGCAGTTGAGGCCGTCTACGGTCCCATTGGCGTCGGTGGACGAGAAGATGTCCCTGTTCGCGGGGGTACCCCAGGTCGCGTCCATCCAGTAGTACCCGTCGGCCTCGACGATGGTATCCATGATCCCGTCGAAGAGCGACTTCAGAGCCACGAACACGCTGTCGAACTGGCGGTTGCCCGTCTTCACCGGGAGACCGACTCTCACGTCCGGGTTCCCCGTGGCGTCCACCGACATGATTCTGACCATGACCCCCTCCCAGGTCCAGTCCCTGAGCATCCACGAGCCGTCCTTCGCGGTCATGACCACGTCGTGGTGGGGATACGCGGGCCTGGACGTGGGGTTCATCTTCGAGCCGATCCCGATGCAGAAGTTGCTGCTGCCTATGTTCGAGATCATCGACTTCGTCGTGCCGTGGGGCCCGAGGGCGCCCCCGTCGTCCACCACGTACTCTCCCTTGCTGTCGGCGATGTTCCTGTTGGTGTCCTTCAACTCCAACACCTCCAAGAGGACCTCGTCGTGCCCGTGTTGCTGTAGATGACCGGGACCAGGTCCGCGTGTCTGACCACCATCGGGTCGGTGTGCAGATTCATGTACGTGGTCGACGGCGCGCCGTTGTTGGGAGTCTCGATCAGGGCCTTGTTCAGATCCGGGCCCATGGACATCATGGTGGGGACGAGCATGGGGTTGAGCGGGCCGCTCTCCTCGAGCATGCAGTTGAACAGGAGCACGTTCAGGTCCCTGATGTGGTACACCGTCGTGGACGCGCCCGCCCGGGGCTCCGAAGACGTGATCATCGTCGTACCCGTGACGAGGTCCCCGGTGGCGTTCAGGATCCCATCCTCGGCGGTGACGGTCAACCCCACCGGGAAGGCGGGCTCGGTGCCGGACATTCTCGGACCAGGCCGTGTACCTGTCCCCGTGCGGGACGGTGGCCTTGACCAGAGGCGTGACTTCGTGGTTGCTCATGGTCAGGGAGGTGTCCGAGATGTCGTCGTTACCCATCAGCATCGTTCTGAGCGTGACCACGCTCCCGTACGGGGTCTCGAGCGTGTGGTTCACCCTGTCGTCGTCCGGGTAGGCGGGGAGGGTGGGGCTCTCGCTGCCGTCGGCCCACACGAACAGACACCTCGTCCAGAACACGGCGTCCGTCTCGGGTATCCTGGACGTTATGGGCTCCCGGCTGCAGGCGGTCAGCTGCCTCTCCTCGGGCGCTGAGTATGGTAAACACGACCAGCACCTCCATCAAGAGTCGGGACATCCGGCCTCGTTCGGTGCGTGGACGGCGGACCTCCGCAGATTCCTTTGGGCCGCCTTGGCGGAAGTGGCGCGGAGAAAATGCAGCGCAGCGGCGGCAACGCCTTGTCTCCGTGGAGAGGGCACCGCTGCCTGGGCTCTCGCGTAAAGTCGAAAGCGGGCAACAAGGCCACACCCAACCCACGACCCTGCGCGACTTCAGACAACTGGTACAGCTATCCCACACCTCTGTACGAATCTTCTATTGCTGACACAAATGTTGCAGAATGCCTCGCAGTCGAAAACCACGCCGATATACGATTCCTCTCCTGTTTTGCGTGGCCCTGGCGCTTGGGCCTTACTGCCCACTTTTTCCTCGACGCGAGAGCTGGGGTGCCGCAAGCACAGTCCCCCGCCTGGGTCGGACGTGTCGAAGCTAAAGCTCGGCGAAGCATGTCCCGCGCTGCAGCTAGTTTTCTTATGTAAGACGCCTGTCCAAACCTCACAATGGAGCCATCGCGACCCTCACCCAATGATCAACCTCCAAAAGTCCTCAAGCCGCTCATATAGTACGATTGCGTGCATCGATCTACCGCTCTATCCGATACTGCGGGCCTGAACAACTGACTGCATTCCAGGATTACCGACTGGCACCGCGACGTACCAAATGTTCTCCTAAATCTGCTATATTTCCTTGCTATGTCGGTCCCGATGTCCGTTCGGTTTTCTATTCGGTGGCGCAACGCTATTTCCTTTGTCTTGCTCCAAGATGAGACAAAGCCATCAGCTGCCGCCGCACCTCCTTTATTTTCCCCTAGAGCTCCCCTGCTCCCTCCCGTCCACATTCTCATTCCTCTGCGGAGCTCTCGATAAAGAACGCGGAACCCCGCGCGTCGTCCCACCTTCTCTCGCTAGGCTGTACATCGCCCTTCCTCGGAGACACGAACCGGTTTTTGCGACCCTCCTGAGGTGCTTAGTTTGCCCTCTCAGCGCCCATTAATACAAGTGGGCACGGCAACGTGAGTATGGCTATCCCGCTTCTCGTCACTTGCTTTCGTGGGAATCAGGACTGGGGTGCATCTTGCGTTATATTGCTCTCTTTCACTCGCTCTGTTTCCGTTAGCGTGCCCGGTTGCCTGGTGGGGCTCACCACACGGTGTTTGCACTCTCTGACATTGGCATTATTTACTCTCGTTACTTCGTTCATTCTTGCGTTATATGCTCTCTTTCTATTTCCGTAGCGTGCCGGCTTCACCACACCGTGTTTGCACTCTCTGACATCGGCATTATTCATTCTCGTCACTTGCGTTCATTCTTGCGTTATATACTCTCTTTCTATTTCCATAGCGTGCTGGGTTGCCTGGTAGGCTTCACCACACGGTGGTTGCA